CCCCAAAACCCCAAAACCCCGTCTCACTATATAAGTTTTGCAGAAATTATTATTATTTCGTTCAAATAATTAAGAAACCTAATATTAATTAATTTTCTATCTATAGGTTAATTGATATATAAGAGAATTGGTCTTGCTACTTCACTTTATAATATTGGGCAATTAAACGAACTTGTTGGAATTATTAGCACTTCTCATATGATTTCGGGTAACTGGTGCCTTTAATTCAGACATTGGTTGCTTAGGTGCTGAGATTTTATTATTAGCATAAGTATTAGTTGTCTTCTAAATCTAAGGTAAATTCATTTGCTTGTTATTGGTGGTAGAGAAGTTATGATATTTTCTCTCAGGTGATAATGTTATCTTGTTTGCTCTAATTTGCATCGCGCTTTGCTTGTTCCCACTCAATGAAAGCACAAGATTTTAGGGCTTTAAGTCAAAGTCCTACTAAATCTGTATCTTATGAATCAACCTCTTCTTATTATTTTCTGACAAGAATTGACCTTACTTGGGAGGTTTGACTGCATTACTGTGATAATTATGACTATTCTATGCAGAGGAAATCAAGTATTAATTATGATAGTTATTGTTATTATCTTAAGAATAAATGCTGTTGCTCAATATAAGTGGATCCTCTAAATTTTATTGCTCACTAAACTATCTACTTCCAATTTGATCCCTATTATACATATTCTACTATTGTTGTTCCATAAACTATTACTAAAAGGTCTACTACTAATTATAGTACTTATTGATATGGTTTTGATTTTAGCCTCCACTAAAGTTTGAATTTAATCCATAAGTTTATGATTTCTAAGATCTTTGATGGCCATTGTTATAATTGTTACTATTCAAGTTCTAGACTCTTCCGTAGTCTATATACTGCTGATTACTGTGTAAATTATGTTATGAAGAATTCTTTTGTTACTAAAGGAAAGGTCTTGTCTAGACAAACTTAGGTTACTATCTCATGTGATACTTTGGCTGGTTAGCTAGCTTCATCTAGTAAGTCTGCTTAACTCCTGCATAGGTAGTAGTGATTTTCATAGCTTGATAATGCTAGTATGAGTTTATGTTTTGTTTGCTTTGATTAGGAGGCTGATATTTCTGTTGCTAGTGATGATGATTATTATTTGTATTGCTAGAAAACTAAGTCCCATAATTAAGTTTAGTCCTTGAGATAAAACCGTTTCTTGCAGTGTTTTGCTGGCCTAAAATTGTATTTAATAATGCTAAGCTTACTATTAGGGGTTTCCTTCTAATGCTTGATAGATTCATCTTTAAGGATGATTGATGATTTTTGCTGTCTTTTTTTAGGATCATAGTAAGTAGAGGACGAAGCTCTTTGAACTTAAGGCGTATTTTCTGAGTTGAGAAGTTGAAAATGATCTTCCTAAAGTGGAATGCTAGCCATACTAAAATTATTAAGCAACATTGATTTTGAAGTTTTCTGAGGGAATTCAGATGTGCTCTAGTTATGATTGATGGTTGTAGATATTATCAGATTTTTAATAGAGTTCAGAATATCTGCATTTTAACTCATATAATTAGCCTATATTTATCATTTATAAAATGGGTTAAATTACTATTTAATCAATGACAAAAGCTTAGAGATTGTCTTCTCTTTACTCTTGCTATTCCAAAACAGTCGGATCTTCATTAGATAAGTTATCATTCTTTTAATATACCTCAGTCTAAGAATCTATCAATATAATTTCATCCTCATTACTTTATGCTAAGTTTTACTTATTAAAGTCAAAGCTATTATTAATAAAGAGCTTGCTATTTCCTTAGATTTAAATAGAATTAGTTTACTCTTACAATTAAGAATCTAAAGTATCATCATTAACTCCTATTAAATCAAATTTTTATAGATTCTCATCGATTATGAGTGCTTTTTTGTAATCTTACACTGTAAGTGGCTTAAAATCATCGTCATTAACTGATATTATTTTAATCTGGTTTAAGCTATCATCATCCTATTAGAATTTTTCCTGCTTCTTAAATTTCGCCTCAAACTCTCATAAAGTTTCTATCATATTACTATACTGCTTGTTCTTCTTCTGGTTATTCTTATTTTATGAATTTGCTGGAGGAATATCTGCAATCTAAGATGATTAGTAATCCAAATATTCTTGTAGCATGCCACCAAGCTATCTCTTAATCATTCATTCATATTGTTCATCAAATCCTAGTATTTCTGGTTCATCTTCGTTGGTTTCTATTATCTAACTTTAGATATCATAGATTGATCTATTGTCTATAAGTAAAACAGGCTATTCTAAATTGTATGATAAATTAGGCTGGTTGGTTAAGTAGCTTTAAATTTCATCATTTTATGCAAAGTTCTCATTAATTTACATTTTAAATATATATTTCAATATATATAAATTTTTCATTATATTTTATTGATGGGGTTTTGGGGTTTTGGGGTTTTGGGG